CTCTCCACTTCCTGTCTGTTTCTTTCTCCTCAAATCACGTCTGTGTCTTAAACGGGCCTCTCTGAGGCATATTTCACATTTGAGGAATTTCCTGTGTTCTGCTTATATCAGAGTGGAATGACAGTCCAAGAGTAGCACACACACACACAGCACACACACCCACACACACACACTGGCCATCTTTAGCCTGTCAGCGTGGGAGCATATGTGTGTATGCCTCCACGTTGTATACACGCATGTGAATGTGAGTGATGAGACAGTATGCCCTGAGAGGCCATCTTGCTGGGTGGTAGAAAGGAAGGATTGCTTTCCATCCATCACAGTTAATATTTTATCCAGCGCTGGTCCAGCTGTAGCATAAGCAGGGCACTGGACATTCCTATGCTCATATGTTATTGGTTGTGTTTTCAGTTCTGTTATGAATGGCAAGCATGGTCATTGAAATGTTGTGACGCTCACTCTTGGCAAATGAGGCGCCTGCTATTTGCTCTTGGCAGTTGCAAACAAGGAAAGCAGCACTTTCACAAACCACTTAGGTTTTTATGCACTGGAGTGCTTTTCACAGCCCTTGATCAGTCATTCTCGAGCAGTTGGGTTATCGGGTAATTGTTGTCAATATCATCTAGTAAACTGTCTTTTTCCCAAACATTAATGGAGTTCAATCAATCTGTTGTGTTATTCTGGTGTGAGTGTAAATAAATGATCTAGCTTTGTCACCCTCTTTCTGGAGGGTTGTGCTCTGCCATGTATCAACAGTTGATTAAAAAAGTTCTGCCTGCTTTCAATTCATTAAAGCTTTTACATGAGCCATTTTTTACACCCAGTCTGTGGTAAGTCTTTTCAGGAAAAAGATAATGGAGCACAGGAAGTGATTCCTGATGAATCTTTTAACTGAACAAAACGATTCATATCAACAACCTTTGAGATATTTGTTCCTGTACTTCCTGTTAAATTTGATAACATAGAAAAGGGATTTCGAGATCAATTTGTTGACACTTTGTCTAATGAATTTCTGATGACGTCTGGTATCGCTCACAGTGTGATGCTGGTGCTTGGGGTTGTGACAGGTTCGGTAGGAGCATGTGCACAGGGCTCGAACAAGGAGCAGGTCTTTGGCTTTAGGGTGAGTCACACTGTTGTGTCTATATGCAGACAGGATGGAGAGGATCAGCTCCTGTGTTTGGCCTAGCTGCTCTGAACAGACTCACCTTTGACCTCTGACACCAGAGTCCTGAAACAGCTTTTGATCAAACAACAGCAGTAAAAGCCTTTGACAGCATTATGCATCTTTTTTTCAACAAACTTTTTGTTATTGAACAAATTGAAAGCTGTGGAAAAGATGAAATGCAGAAGAAGGGAGATTTTGAACAAGTTGATCAAATTTCTTTCATAAAAAGGAAATAACTTAATCTAATAATCATAAATAACCTTCACTGACAAAGTTATATGAAGACTGAGACAGATGAGTGGCTGCTAACCTTTGAACAGACAGCCAAATCAGCACGGATTTGGGTAATTAGATCTTCATGGTCTTAAATCTAATTTACTATTTGTTTAAAGTAAACAACAAAACAAGCAGATGCCACTCTATTTTCTATCACTTCAAGCCAAAAGGAGCAGTTGTTGTGGGCCTCGTGCTTGAAAGAGATTGCTCTTGTGTTACTGCCGATGTTGCGGTGGTGATCCGATCCTCAGTCATTAACGTGCGTCTGCCAGTACAAGCGATTACTAGGTCCATGTCTGGGTGAAAGTATTAACATAGCACTGACTGTGAGTCTTACAGTTAGTGTATATGCTGCAGTAGTCAGAGACAAAAGCATGAATTCAAACATTTTATTTTCAATATTAGTTAGAGTGCACATATTACTAATTCTATGCATGAAGATCAGTTTCCTTTAAAAAAAACTATTAGCATATAAAAACTATTTTATGATGTCTTCTGTGGCTCAGGAGGAGCTTTATTCTACTGATTAATGGCTTTTTTCATTTAAGAAGCTGTAACCAGCAATGCCAAGCTAAAAGCCTCATTTCCTTTATAGCACTAACCTAAATCTTTAATCAATATCTACATTTATATCAACGGCTCTCTGCTCTCGCCTAAAACCACAACAGTTGAAGTTATACAGTGGCATACTAAAACACAGCTGGAGTTACAGCTATAATGCCACAGAACTGCTGAAGCCTCTGCTGCAGCGTTCTCAGGCACCTGCAATGAATTTGTCCACTCAGTGAAACCCAGCTTGTGCTAATGCTGCATTTCTAAAAATCTTGAGTCATGCTTTCAGAGGGGGTCCGATGGGGGGCAGCTTTGGAGACAGCTTTCTGGGTATGATACACCAGCAAGTCTTGGATTCATAGGCTAAATGAATTCCAGTATAAGTCAGCGCCAGTTGGTCCTCCTGAAGAGGATGATGATGCTTAATTTGGTATCCTTCCCACTGCAGAAGAAACAAGATAAGGTAACATTAAAAAATGCATTATACAGGCTTCTTATTGGCCTCATTCTGTATGGTTTGGGGCCTACAAGCTCCATCATTGGTACATTCTTTATTCTTGATTTGACATGTTGTCTCACACCAAACAGAAGTGCTCTAGACTTTTCTGACCAGCTATAAAATCTTCCGTCCAAATCTGGATGAAGGGGTCGAGGCAGATTACACCCAAGCCTATGATGATCCATTCGGCTAATCCTGATCATAGTGAGTTGGCTGTGCCCCAATCTCCCTGCTTGGGGAGCAGGTGACAATTGGCTACAGCGATCAATCCCACAACCCCACTTCCAATACAGCAATCAGACTGACCTACCTTTTAATTTGGAGTTAGACATCAGTTTTTATTGTAGGCCATGAGAATATATCCTGTGATTCGCAACGATTTGTTATGAGACAGTGATTCAATTTGTCACTGGAATGAACAAATTTTACTTGTATGCAGATTTCAGATGGACATTTTCTGCGTTTTGTTGTTCTCTCTGAATCAAAAATGTCTCCTTCTTTTATTTAGGATGTGTGTGTTTGATGTTTGACTGTCCATATGTTCTGCTCAAACACCGGGTAAACAGAAACGTGTAATCTGGTGATGGCGAGTTTAGCCTGCCACTGTGTCTGTTGACAGTTCGGTAGTAGAAGATTGGTGTTAGCGCGGCTAGCATTCTGCTTCCTGGCAGTGGAGGCTAAGGGGAGATTAGATGTTAGTGTCTATCCTAGCTGGCTCTGCAGCTCCGGTCCAGGCCTTGCTCTCTAATCAGTGCTGGCAAAAGGCCTCCCTAAAGCCGGCTGGCGTTGACAGGACTGTCTGCGCCTCTCTGAGCTAAGAGTCTCGGCCTCCCATGCCATCCAACTTTCCTTTTTTTCTCCTTCCTCCTGATCTCTTATCTCCCTGCTCTTTCCTTTTACCCAAAAATCTCCCAACAGCAATGGTGCGTCACCTGGTCCTCCATGAGCACTAAACCCTCCCAACAAAAGTGAAAACTAAAACTTATCTCATAATTCAATTTGACAGCAGGATTATTTTGCAGCTGCCATTTTAAATGTCTCATTTGCTTTCTTTAAACCTGATTCAGTCCCCGACGCTGACAGGTTGATTACAGTCTTACACTGATGGCTCTTTCCACCCCCCTGAAACAGGACAAGCTAATGATGGGACTGGGAGAGGATGTGATGTGGGCTGGAAGGAGCAAGGCTGGCTTGCTCTATTCCTTCTCTTCCTCTAATTTTTTAAGTGGTTTTGGGAACCGTATGACTGTATCCTTTATGATTCAGCCTCACATCAACCTCAGTGGTCTCTATGAGGTTTGGCGATCATGTTAGGGAGTGTCTCTTGACATCAGTCTGGTTGTTCTGGTTTGTTTTAGTGGGCTAATTTATTTCCTTCTTAAAGGATATGTTCAGATGTCTCTATTAATACAATAGCTTGCCAAATGTATGCCTATATAGATCTATATCACATTAGATCATTGCAATATTTGCTTATTTTCTGCTGTTGTGTGTGAATTAGTTATTGGGCCATTAAAAGAAAAGGTTTTGGTTGACAACATTGACGTATTAATTTCTGTATTTATTCACAACTTTGACATATGTAGTACTGTCGGTGATGGATAGCTAAAGACTGGGACCATTGTGAGCCTGTGGACTATAAATATATTTCATTTCATGTGGTTTGAGGTTGGAGTAATGAGCAGGGAATTAGGCTTTCAGCAGTCAGTACTTGGTGAGCTACTGAGTTGTATGCATTTGCTCTGCTTGTCTGGCCTCTGCAGTCTCTCTTTCTCTCTCTCCTAGTCTCTCCCTCAGACCCTCTTTTCTCCCTCTCTGCCTTTGTTTCAGTGCTGCTGCTGCAGTTGGCCATGCCTGCAAATGAGCACCAGGACAGAGCAATTATTCAGCGTGGGGGCAAGCCTTGCACCCCTCCTTTACACACACACACACACACACATGCTACACTCGCTGTCATGTTCCAGTGTTTCATGCATTCACAATGGGGACATCTTCAAGCAAAAGAGCAGAATTTTTACGGATGAAATAAACACAGAGGAGAATGAAATAGGCTTCTGGAAATCTTCTTGGATATAGATTTATCTTGGAACTCAATTCCCTCAGGGGGGGATGAGCTCCATATCCCTTTCAAACATGAATTAATGTGACTGACACATGCACACAAACATACACACACATTTCTTGTTCTCAGACATGGCAAAACCTTCCCATCCCCCCGTTATCCACCCCACCCCAATGCAATGGAGACACTGGTTTGGTTGGAGTGTATGCTGGTGAAGGGCAGTTGAAGGGGTGGGGGGTGGAGAGCTACGTGAGACAGCATGCCGGTTGGCTCGGTTTGTGTGTGTGTGTGTGTGTGTGTGTGTTTGTGTGAGCTGCTTGCCGGCTCCGCTCGCTGGCGAAAAGCATCAGCCATCTCTGTCAGTGTGGCATTGCCCCTTCGACTCCTGTATTCGCTCTTTTTTTCTGCCTCTCATCTTTTTTTTCTCTCTCCTCTCTCTGCAGAAGCCGCTGCCTTGCCCTCCCCTTGTACCCTCTTTGCAGACAAAAAGCTGGAGTATCTGCCCTACCCCACCAGGTAAGACGTTATATTTTTCCCTCAGAAGCATATGTGTTAGATTTTTTTGTGCAGTTGCTTTATTGCTTGAAAAAGGAATTAATTTGAGGTCTGTTTTTATAGCCGCAGTAAATATGAGGAATATGAGCATTAATAGCCAGAAAGGGGAAATCTAAATTATTCCCCTCTTTGGTGCCATCTTTCCTTTCTGTTTCTGTTTCTTCTTCTCCCCAGTGCATGCCAATCTCTAATCAGTGTCTTCCTGCCTACCATCTCCCCTTTGTTTGCAGAGATGCTAATTATTCTGGATATTTTAAGCTGACATATTCAAACAACAGAGTGAAAGAGCTGATGTTTTGATAAGCCAGGGGCTGTTTCTATGTTTTGGTGGCCTTTAGTCTTGGTGACGTACCTCGTCTAGACATCGCTGATTATTCAGCCGGCAGGACAGCAGAGTTCACCCCGAGTGTGCTGCTGCTACTGTTGCTGTGTATGCATGTGAGAAACAGAGATATAAAACACTCATCTCCAGTGATTATTGCTCTTGGGAACAATACGTTATTTTAATTGTGAATAATGGCGATTGTGGTATATTTATAGGCTGGGGCTGTGGTGGCATGTGGCCGTTGGCGGTAAGCAGCTCATAGCCAACAGATTGTTGGTGGTTTCTCCGTGGGAGTGACACCAAGCCAAGCGAGACCGCAGGACATATTACTCCGCCTGTCAGCATTGGCTGAGCTGGCTGTCACAAGTTTGCTGACGGCTTGATCGGGAGGAGTTTTGGGGTGGATTTGAGGTTTTGATATGAGCAGGTGGTGATGGAGTGATGACTCTTCTCCCACCCTTTCTTTTCTTCTTCCCTCCCACTCTTGTTTATTCCTCCCTCTTCATGTTGCTGCCTTTATCTGTTTTGATCTGTCGTCTCTCCCCTCCTCCGGGAGCGGGTCACAAGGGCCCAGTGGAGCTTGGGGATCCAAGAGAGGCAATAAACAATACTCGGAGACAGATATAAAGACAGACAGATATAAGACATATTGTTTTCAACATAACTTTGTTTTGTCCATAATAAAGAAAATTAGGAAATCATATGGACGGACAATGTACTTTTTATGAATAGGAAGTAGGAAGGGTAAAAATGTATCCATTTTACAAAAACAATAAATACAGCATCTTTTATCCAAAGTCCTTGATTCCGAGGCTGTTTTGTAAATAGTTTTCTAATAAATATTGCAACTTCTGATCAACCTATATCAATTTCAGGGTTAGCTCCACCTTCACCCAACTACAGAAACAGATAATTTAGTTGGTCATACAGATACAGATAATTCTGGACTTGCTCATAGTGAGCTAACGCAAGATTGGCATAGCTTGCAATGCATGTTAATAAGGTATCAGCTAAAAGTTAATTTTCTAGTTTAAATAACAGCTTTGATTCTGCCCTTCATTTTATGGGAGACAATTCGGCGCAGGGAGGTTCGTATCTATGACTGTGCTAGATGTCACCACAGTGTCTGTCACATCTCATGCACCCTGCTTCACCTCCAGCTCCCCTCTCTCTATCTGTCTGTCTCTGTCTGCCAGCACAGTTGCTGGGCAGTTTCGAGGCAAGCTGTCTTTTCCTGGGAAACAACTTTGGATGACATGCCATGGCATAGAAGGAAAGGACAAGGGGACAAATGCGCCCTCTCCCTGTCCTCCTTTTTGGGGTCACAAATGGAGCCCTGTCCCCCTTGTTATCCTATGCCTCCTCCTCCTCCTCTTCCCATTTTTCCTGCATCCCGCTTCCAGTTCTGCCGAGCTCATGCCCTCGGAACGAGGTCGTTTGTGGCACGGAGGTCGGCGTAGTGGCCGGTTAACCAACTGTTGCCGCGCTCGCAGGGCAAAATCAGTGGGAGAGAGGGACATTGTTTTGGAGTCAGCATCACCCCTGGTTCCAACTGCCAGCAAGGCATTTGTAATGTAATGGAGATAAATGTAGGTGTTAGAGAGATGCCAAGTGTGAAAGAGAAGGGCATTGTTTTGATGGCTTTTCCTCCTTCACTTCCCCACCAACTGTCAGTTAGAAACTGAACTTTGCATTGTACTTGTTTTAATCCTGGAATGCACCAATGCTGACAGTTGCAGAATGTTTTCTACACTGGGTTGAGATTGACCCCTATAGGATTTAGACTCCTTTAGCTTTGATCTGACCACGAATCTGTTTCTCAAATTCACCACATTTATAAAAGTGCAATAAAAAATAGCTGATAGTGTGATATGTTTTAGAATACATTAATTCCTGTGAGAAATATATACACTGTTGAAGCTTTTTTTTGCAACCGTAAAACAAAACATTGGGTCCACTCAAGGTCGACTTATCTCATGTTCTGCATCAGCAGGGGAAGTTTGCTCGTTGTATTTTGTAGTGTAAGTACTGAACAATTCAGAAGAAAGCTCTGAAAAAAGTAAGTAAGTGGCCCTTAAGTTAAGATTTTTTTTCTTTCAAATCTCTGAATTGTTGCACTGTTTTGAAAAATGATTTACCTTAAGTTTGATTTTTTGGTCTAACATTTTTCAACATCAACCTCTCAAGCTCAGAATTTTTTATATATCTTTTTACTAATAAGGCATTTTATACCTGCCAGAGACAAATAGTAATGTTGGTTATTTGTAGAGGCAAACTGAAGGTGAAAAGGACATTACAGTCAAGTCAACACTACCCTCAAGTTTGACAGAATGCCCCTAAGTGTCTGTTGACAAGTGAAACTTGATGGTTATGTAGCTGGATGTCAAAGCACTGACATAGATGAGGCCAGCCACAGAGACAAATGCAGCTGAATGAAATAGACAGCATGTTACTTCGGGTGGATGGCGGGGAATTTGTTACACAAGTTTGAATGTAGCGTTGTAGAGGAGGACATGATGGTGATGCATGATGGAAAGTACGGATTACTGAAGAAGTGATCATCCTTTTAGTTAATCCACAAAGCATTTTCAACACTTTTGACCACGTATTTAAGTCAAGAGAAGAATTTACTTTAAAAATAATCATGATGAAAGAATGTACTGTATATACAAAACTACAAACCATGAGGCTTACTTTTTCAGTTCAGTTCGTCAGATCAGACCCTAACATAGGGGTGTCTAAAAATTTGATATACAGTAATGGGCTGTATTATTTATTTATTGGCTTTGGACCTTGAAATACTACAAGGAAGCTGAATAATAATAATAAAATTCTGAATTTAAATTATTAAGTGAATAAAAATATATTTTAATATTAAAAAATAATACTAAATATTTTTATATACCTAAGATGCCTGCTACCTAGATTTACCAAAACAGACTACTTAACAGCTCCATATTTCCCTAAAAAATGAATATTATTTTATATTTCAAGCATCTTCACATTCTTGAGGGTGAAGGTTTTCCAGAGTAGTAAAATCATGGCCTACAGGCCCCATTTTGGACCAACTTGTCCTTTTGTGTTGATTGATGAATGAGGCCACAAAAAAAACCTACATGTATATGAACACAGACCAGTTCTCCCACCTGTCTGCACTCTTAAGTGCAGCTGTCGCCTTGGGGCCGCAAAGACCTGCACCTGGTTCACATAACGCAGCAAGGAAAAGGGCTGCTCGCATGTGTTTGAGCTTGTAGATTATGTTACGGGCAGAAAGTTTGTTTGGTTTTTGCATCTAGGATGAAGAATGTATGTTAATACGTGGGTCCATGATCTTCCTCACTGTTGTGGCATGTGTCTGTAGTGCATAAAGGTGGCGGTTTGCAGGCTGGGGTTCGGGTCAGGCAGGTGCAGGTATTAAAAAACCCTGACCCAAGCATCACTAGTACCGTGCTTTGCCGTTTGTGTCCATTCTCTATTCTTCCTTTAGTTTAATTAATGAACCCCCCCCCCCCCCCCCC